TACTTACTCCTGCTCCTCTCTTCCCCGGGCACCATCACTCCAGCTCCAACCAAGACTCCCGTCTTTCTGTTACCCTATGCCTTTTATCCCCGCACCAATTAGTCCCAATCAATTATCTCACCCCCTGCTTTACCACTCGCCCCCAGGCCCCCAGCCTCAAGTAACCTTGTTATTCCCGCCTGAGCGGCGCCAGTCATTAAGCACTCAACCTCCTAACCAATCACCGGCCTGTGTCCCCGGTTACCCCTAACACCTGTCGCGCCTCTTAACGGCGTCTCCCTCACGCCCCAACAACAACAACACCGTCCTCAGATACCCCCCACTGTACACTGCTCGCTTGCATAGCAACAGCACAAGAGAATGAGTGGCGCGCCATATTTCAAGTCCTACATCACCCCCCCCCCCCCCCTGTTGAAAAAGTTAGCCGTCCCGGCTAAACACAACGCACCACGCGGAAATCACAACATACAAGAAAACCACAACAGACAACAAAATGTACACAATCCCCAACATCCCCAAAGTTTTAAGAAAAAGTCAATCTTCTTGAGCGGGTTCCCGCGGCCGGTCCGTCACCCCTACTCGACTCAACAGGGGCCAGGGTATCTCTGTCTGTGGGCGCGGGGCAGCGTCCTGCCTGAAACGTGCGTCCATCTCCGTTACACTGTCCATTCCTCGATGAGACCCCAACGTGGCCTCGTGTGTCCCGGGGTGTCCCCTGACTCAAAAATGGAGATCCTGCAGACACACGGGGGGTAAACTGCTGAGCTGCATCCTTCCGTCGTCGCACAGCACGCTCGTCGGACACATCCAATACAGGCCGTTCCGGGATGGGAGATGACGCATCATAAAGCAGCACATATCTCTTCAAGTGCGATGGGTGAATGTGCCACAATCGGCGACCGTATCGAATCCTTACACTCTGATCCCGACGAACTTCCACAACCTCAACGGGCCCCTGCCAGGGCCGATGGAATTTCGGTGATGTGCCCACCGGCACCATCGGACAATGTAACCAGGCCTTGTCCCCCACCAGCCATTGTTCCCGTGGAGCCTGTGTACCGTGCAGGCGCTCATTAGCAGCCTGCCTTTGTTCCGTATTTCCCAGCGAGGCCTCCCTGGCCTCTTTCAATCGATCTAATGCCTCACGCATGGGGACAGGCACCGTTTGCAACTTATCCTTAGATTTCACACCCAGCCTGACCACGGCCGGGGCTTCTGGTTCACGACCATACATCAAATAGAAGGGCGAATACCCTGTTGAAGCGTGTGGGGCTAATCTATAAGCGGCCAGGGCCGCCGGGACATGTAGATTCCAATCTGTCTGAGTCAAATTAATCTGTTGGCACAACATAGATGTCAATGTTCGATGAAGACGTTCGACCATCCCATCGGTTTGTGGGTGGTATGGGGATGTCCGAATTTTCCTTGTACCCAATGCGTCACACACTTCCTTCAATAGGCGGGACGAAAATTTTTTACCCTGGTCCGTAAGCAGGTGCTCCGGGGCACCTTTGTCAAAAACGTAACCCTGCAGGAAGGCCTCCATGATTTATCCTGCTGATTGGTCCGCTAGCGGCCATGCCATAGGCCACCGAGTGAGGTACTCGACCCCTACACAGGTATTTGTGACCCCGCGGGGTAACGGGGAACAGTCCCAGAATATCAAGGGCCACAATCTCGTTGACCCGCGAAACACGTATCGACTGCAATGGTACCCGATATGGCTGTGCCGGCGCCTTCCGCCGTGCGCACTCGTGACAAGCTTTAACATACAAATGAACATCATTCTGTAATCCCGGCCAATAGAAATCGTTACTCAAAGTCAAAGCCGTTTTCTTCTCCCCCAAGTGCATCAATCGCCCATGCGTGTCGCAAATAAGTTCCCCTCTCAAACATAGTGGTACCACAATACAAAACTTCTGCAAGACGACATCCCATCTGACCAGGAGGTCGTCAACGAGTCGAAGAAAGGCCCGATCATCCGACTGTTTGGAACGAGAGGCCCTTAGCCTCATTTTGGTAAGCGAAGGATCGTCCACTTGTAAGCGCACCCAACGATCCCGTGACAATCCCAGCAACCCAGGCTCTTTAGCCGGTGCTTCGTCAAGCTGGTCCGAATTGGCTGCAGCGGCCATGGCCGGAATGCCCTGCAGCGGCGGCCCACAGCGCAGCAATCCCTCGGAGCATCTACACAAGCCCGATGACTGAGTCAATCGGGACAGAGCATCCGCGTTAACGTGACGCGTACCTTTCCTGTGCTGGACCGTGAATGAGTATCCCTGCAGGACCTCAAGCCAGTGGGCCATTTGGCCCGAGGGTTGATCGATCCGCAAGGAGTACTGCAGTGCCGCGTGGTCGGTGCGGCCCAAAAATTGTCGCCCGTATAAGTATGGTCGATACAGCTGCACAAAGTGTACAATCGCCAACAATTCCCTGCGTGTTACACAATATCTTTGCTCTGCCGGGGACAGTACCCGGCTGCCATACGCGACGACCCTTTCAACTCCGTCAATCGTTTGCGACAATACAGCGCCGATGTCGTCGCGGATGGATGAGGTGTAGGATACGGCTGTGTATTGCATGTGTCGCGACTCGCCTGGTAATCCTGCACTGGGTATAATCCGTGATTGTAGGCTCCTAATGAACGCGGGAAGACGCCTCTCTGTCTCCAGCAGTCCCGTGCGAAGTGTCCTCGATGACCGCACTCGTAGCACCGCAGCAAACCGCCAGGCCTGCCCATATCCGAGCGGCGGTGTGGGCCCAAAGGTGGACGTGCGGCCGCTGCCGTCAGCGACGTCGGCTCGCACTCCGGTAGACCCCCATCCGCACCGACGCCCACCACCAGGGGCTGTGGTGGCACCGCCGATGGCTCGTCGCGAAGATCCAGGTTGACCTGGATGTTCCTGGCAAGCTGCAAAGATGACCCGTTGTCGTCTTTGTCGCTGGGAAGTGAGAGGACGACTCGTAGCTCCTTCGCCATCTGCAACAGCTTCTCCTGGGCCAAGGAATCAAGGGCAGCCTCATCCATTGCCGGGTAAGCCGCTTGGCCGAGGGTCAATAGCGCACTGCGATATGCGAGGGGAGATTCCCCCACCGCCCGTCACCTCAACTGAAACTTGCGCTTGGCGACCGATTGAGGTTCGTAAATGTCCTGCATCACCGCAAATATCCCTGACAACGACAAGCGAACCCCCCGAGGGAGGCCGTAGAACGTCGCCAGCGCGTCGTCGTCCAGGGCCGTTGGCAGGGCCCGTAGCGCTTGAGCTTCCATCCACCCGAGCGACTCATACGCTGCCAGAAATCGTCGTGTAAACACCGTCCAGTCACCGACTGTGACCTCGAAGCGTTCCACGTGCAGTCGGCGTGGCGTGCTCGAGGGCAGCGATTCCGGCTCCTCCTCAGCGTCCAGCTGTGCACCTAGCGCATCGCGAGATCCAGCCACACCGCCGGCCCCCGCAGATGTAACGAGGTCGTGCGGCCGCTGATCCAATCCCGTCGGCGCCTCCCGTATCGTCTGCATAAATCGTTCAAATTCTTGCGTGAGCGCCGCCATCCTGGCCTCCCATGCCGCCAGTGTAGCTCTCCATACGTGCGGCGGGCTCGGCTCCTCCTCGTCGTTCGGGTCGCCCTTGTCATGCGGCGGCGCCTCCTCAGTCGCGTCCCCCGGAGAAGCGGGAGCCTCCACTCCCGATGGAGGTATCACGTCCGCATTGCTGTTGTCGGCCGACGAGGCTGCTGGCAAGTTCTTCTTCTTCATAATTTTCTTTGACACCTCGGCCTAGTTCTTTAATCACTTCTGATGCCAGTTGTAGGACTCGTACTCGGGTTGTCTTTCCGTTCCGTTTATTCACACTTTAGAGTTCACCTCCTCATCGTCACCGCTCCAAGTCTCCCCGTTCGCTCCGTTCCACCGTCCGTCATTAACGACACTCCCTGTCTCTCCGTTCGCTCGCTCCGCTCCGCGATTCCACTCCGCTCTCTCTCCGTCTCTCCCAAGGTCCGTACACTCCGCTGCTACCCTACTCTGCACCCCTCAGATGCATGGCTACGACTGCTACCCCACACCGTGTTCTCTATCTACTGCTACCATACTCTCTGTCCTATCACTATTACCGTACTCTCTGCTCTCCCTATCACTGTTACCGTACTCTCTGCTCTCTCTATCACCATTACCCCTATCGTATCTCCCTGCTTACTCCTGCTCCTCTCTTCCCCGGGCACCATCACTCCAGCTCCAACCAAGACTCCCATCTCTCTGTTACGCTGTGCCTTTTATCCCCGCACCAATTAGTCCCAATCAATTATCTCACCCCCCCCTTTACCACTCGCCCCCAAGCCCCCCGCCTCACGTGACCTTGTTATTCCCGCCTGAGCGGTGACAGTCATTAAGCACTCACCCTCCTAACCAATCACCGGCCTGTGTCCCCGGTTACCCCTAACACCTGTCGCGCCTCTTAACGGAGTCTCCCTCACGCCCCAACAACAACAAAACCGTCCTCAGATACCCCCCACTGTACACTGCTCGCTTGCATAGCAACAGCACAAGAGAACGCGTGGTGCGCCATATTTCAAGTCCTACACTAGTAATACCAGAATTGGCACTGTTCTGTCTCAAGTTGTGGATGGCGTGGAGAGCTTGGGGGCATTTGGCAGCAGAGTGCTGTCTCAGGCCGAGCAGTGATACTGCGTTACACGCCGGGAACTTTTGGCTATAGTTATTTTTTGTACAGCAGAATCGCCCCTACCTTTACGGCAGGAGCTTTGAGGTGCGCTCTGACCATGCAGCCCTACAGTACGCACTGAAAATTTAACAGCCGTCTGGTCAACTTTCACGTTGGTTGGAAGTCCTGCAGGACGAGGACTATTCTGTTACTGTTTCCTACTGCAAGGGTACCCGACACACGAACGCGGATGCCCTGTCGTGGTTGCCAACGAGCGATGGGTGCGCGTGTTTCTCAGGCTCGGGGCACTGTAGGACGGCTGCCGAGGTAATGCCCCTTCTACTTGTGGCATCGGTGGATGTTGATACCCCAGAAAATCTCGACGGTCCCAATGCGTGTGATGGCGCTATTGGTCTGGACCATGGGGAGTGGGGATTCCTCCAGGTGGAGGATGCTTCCCTGTTGAAACTGTGACGCTGTCTCAAGGGTGCGAAATGGGGAGAAGATCAATGGGGGGTGGCTTCTGTTATCCTCAAAGGTGGGTTGCTGATGCACTGGAATGGGAGGTTACGCCATTATAACATTGTCGTGCCCACTGCCCTGCGGGGTAAAATCATTTGGGCAGTGCACGAGCGACTGCTGCACCTGGGTGTGCACAAGACGCTGGCCAAACTCGACTTCTTCTAGCCCGGTATGGCGGAGGATGTCGCTAACGTGTTGAAGGAGTGCGTGCAGTGCGCTCGGCGGAAACCACCGTCTAAACCTTGTTGTCCACCTTTGCCATCCATTCGAGTCTCCCGTATGTCCTCGGCCCATTTTCAACCATTTCCTGCGGGAATAAGTATTTACTAGTGGGCGTCGAATATTTTTCACGATGGCCGATGGACTAGCCGCTTCCCAACCAGTCGGCGGTGGCTATCACTGAGGCATTCCTCGACGGTTATGTGCTAGACAAGGGAGCCCCGGAGCATCTCCTGACCGATCAGGGTAAAACTTTTCTTCTAAATTGTTACGGGAGGTGTGTGATTTGTTTGGAATAAAAAAAAGTATGAACTGTGCCCTGTCACCCCCAGATGGACGGGATGGTGGAAAGGTTGCACAGGACTCTGACCTCCATGTTAAGCCATCATGTCCCCGGAGTCCTTGCTGCCTATAGAATGGGCCGGCTACTCGCCATTTTTGTATGTACGGGAGGGAACACGACCTCCTGATTGATGTCCAATTGCAAACCGAGCCGAACAGTGCTAAGTAAAACATTTCAGAACCCATGCGCTTTACCCTTCAGAGAATTTTGGAAGCATGCGAGGAAACAAGGGAAAATTCTATTTCACGCCATATGGCAAATAAGAGCTGAGGGATCTCCTCCTTTCAGGACAAAAGTGGGCTCCAAGTGACAGGTACCGGTGGACACGTTGCCCAAATTGTATAAACCTTGAAGGGGGTCTCAGTGTGTTCCAATTCGCTGGGGTCGACGAAGTTGGTTTATTCACCCTTCACACCTCAAACCTTTCATTGCGCCGCGTGAATTCATCTCATAACCAGTACGCAAGGGCCGAGTGTCGGGTGTGTTGGGTGAGCTGTGGCATGCACCCACTGAGGTTGGTCCTCAGGGGAGTTATGTGATCCCGCCCACAGGTTCCGAGCGTTTAACACCCCCCGAACCGCAGCCTGCGCCGTCTCCAGGAGCTCAAGGGGTGGAGCGCCGACTGCTCCTCGTGAGGAGCCGTGCTCATCAAAACATTTTCAAATTCACCCTGAGAAGCCCAGGGAGCTTACGCCCACCTCGCCTGGGAGCCTGGCTACAAAGAATCATTCCAAGACTTTTCAGTTCTCGTGACCCCCACACACACTCCCACGCCGTCGGTTGGTTGTCGCACTCATCAGTCGTATTGATCATTGGCTGAACCTGGCTTTTATTGTGCTCATGGGTGGTGTTACACGTTGAGGGTGGGTGATGCTGGTGCAGGGGGGGGGGGAGTTCCCGAAGTTGTGTGTTACCGCTCGTTTTTTTTTCTCTTTCTCTCTCTTCTATTGTGTTATTGCCCTATTGTTGATTTCTGTCCCTCTGTTCCCTTCCCCCGTTCATCACTGTATATAGTGTAGAAATTGTACATAACCGTTGTTTATATGTATTTGTTGAGGCGCACTCGGGGGCTTTCTTATGTTTTTAGGGGGGAGTTGACAGCTGGGATGCTGTGGGTGCAGTACCGGCACTAGAGGGGCATGGTGGAGTGACATCGCTTGATGGCACCATGCTGTAAGTGCAGTCCCGGCCTTAGAGGGCATGGCACATGTGTGCTGACCTAAGGGGACGGTCGTGTGAGGCCATGGCACTCTGGTTGAGCCAGGAGGACACGTGACCAGTTTGAAATTACAGGGGGGTCCCCAAGAGGAGGCTAGGAGGGTCACGTGATTCGAACCCAGGTTCTTCCTGACGGTTCTAGAAAGGGGGCATGGCCAAGGGCAGAGCCGGCCACACCAGAGAGAATATAACCCGAGTTCCGAGAGGGATCTTCGTTGTCCATCCCGGGGAAGAAACCCTTGGTACACGATCTCCGTTCTTTGAGTCTTCCAGCACGTGGACCCAGGCAGTGTGTTGTTGGTCGCCGGTCCAGAGTTAATAGTTACTTAGTAACCAGTGTAGGTGTAGTTAGCCAGGGTGGTCACCACCCTAGGTTGGGGTGGTGTGTTGAAAATAAATAAATGCACTGCCTCCAAGTTTAAGAGTGTGACTCAGTTGAACCCACTACAGTAGTATTTACTTACTGTAATAGTATCTTCTGAGCCCAGTAGCAGCTACTAACTGTATAGTAGTGTCTACTGACTGTAGCAGTAACTGCTGACCGTCGTAGTATCTACTGACCTTACAATAGTATCAACTGACTCTATAGTATCTACCGACTGTAGTTGTATCTAGTCACTGTATAGTAGTATCTGTCGACTCTATAGTAGTATCAACCAACTCTATAGTAGTAAATACTGACTCTAAGTAGTATCTACTGAATCGATAGTCTTATCTAATAACTGTATAGTAGTATCTACAGACTCTATTGTAGTACGTACTGACTCTACAGTAGTATCTACTGACTCTACAGTAGTATCTACTGACTCTACAGTAGTATCTACCTACTCTACAGTAGTATATCCTACTCTATAATACGGTAAATTCACCTATATGACTTAACCGAAAGAACCAAAGAGTATGAATTCCTGCAGTCACGAAAGCTTCAAATCAAGAACGAACTTCATAAAGTGCCGTGGTGAGGCCTAGTCCCGTGCAGAGTCCCCGGCCTTGCCTAGATTGCCGAGCCAGTCGAGGTAGCACCATTGCAGGCTGGGGCTGGGCTGCTACCCCCCCCCCCCCTCTGCTTACTCTAAAGTAATAGTATCCAAGAACTATAGTAGTAGTATCTACCGACCCTATCGTAGTAAGTGAACACATTGGGGTGGGGAAGAGGAAATGACACTTTGAATTATTTACCTCAGCGTTGTGTATTTTTTTTTGCATTTTTAACGCGAATGAGAATTCCCCCCCCCTCCCCCGATTGCGTGTGTGCGTTGCTCGGGCCAACGACCATGAGTCAGCGTTCTCGTGCATGCGCAGATGCATGCTCTGGCTCCGCCCTGTGCTTATAAAATTAATAAATTGTTAATTTAATTGCTATAAAAGTTGACGGATGGGAAAAAGAAATCGCGATTTGTCGGTCAGGGGCTTAACACGTCGTACGTGAAGCCAGCAGTTTGTGAGTTAAATGCGTCACAAGTTGTTTCCACACACACAGATGGACAGACAATAAATGACTTTCATGGGTAAGATTGTCTTTGAAACTGATTGGTTTGGTGCGGTGTATAAACATCGCCACTGGAGAGACAAAGGCAGCCGGGCATGGTGCTGGCCAACCACCCCTCGTGTGCTGTGCCGGCCTTCATAGGTGCTTGCTAACAGCACTTGTCCCAACAGTCTGTTAGACGCTATACGGGGCATCTTTGACTTTGTGTGTGTGTAGGCGTGTGTGGGGCTGGGGTGCAGTGTCAGCAGTTAGTGCTGCCCCGCGCCACAAACCCGGCGGAGACCCGAGTTCGACCTCCCACTCACGACAAATAACGGGGCCGAAAATGTCGGACCGCTCCCTGCGTCTTCTCTTTCCCTCCTAGGCCGACTCAGCCTCGAACGGCCACGGTCTCCGTACCTGATAACGCTGTCGTCACCGTCACGATGTCGCTCCTTTCCGTCGTCGTATTTGCCCCGCCCACTTTGTTGTTGACCTCACAGGCGAACGCGTCACCGTGCCGCGCGTCGTGCAGGGTCCACGTCTCCGTGTGGACCCCGGTCTCTGTGAGGTTCCCCCCCGAGCTCTCGTCCCCCCTGAGCCACGAGTAGTAGATGGGAGGGGAGCCCTGGTGCACGACGCAGCGCAGATACAAGGAGCCTCCCACGTGCACCGCGGGGTCACGGGGAGAGACATCGGGCTTTGACACGGCAACTGAGACACAGACACACAGAGAGAGATGTGGAGATTACTAAGTGTTATAGTGTAGTCTATAGTGTAGTGTATAGTGTGGTGTATAGTAGTGTAGAGTGTAGTGTATAGTAGTGTATAGTGTAGTGTACAGTAGTGTAGTGTATATAGTCGTGTATGTATAGTTTAATGGGTGGTGTTGTGTATTGTGCAGTGTAGTGTATAGTATAGTATTGAAGGATGTTCAGTGTATAGTGTGGTACAAGAAAAGTAGTGTATTATGTAGTAAATAGTGTGTATTGTAGTGTAGTGTGTAATGTAGTGAATAGTGTAGTTCATAGCAGTGTAGTGTATAGTGTATAGTAGTGTAGGGTATAATAGTGTATATTCAAGTTTAAAGAAGTGTAGTATATGTTGCAGTATGTAGAGTCGTGTGTAATGTAGTGTATAGTAGTGCAGGGTATATTAGTGCGTATTGTAGTATAAATAAGTGTTGTATATGTTGTAGTATGTAGTGTATACGTAGTGTCGTGTGTAATGTAGTGTATAGTGTAGTGTATGATGAAATTCTCTTCCACCAAACGAAGCCAACCGTGCTAATCGGAGATTGGGGGTGAAGCACAACAAACCAATCATTCTCTCACTCACTCACTCACTCGCCCACTCACTCACTCGCTCGCTCACTCACTCACCCACTCACTCACTCACCGACTCACTCACCCACTCGCTCACTCACTCACTCACTCGCTCACTCACGCACTCACTCACTCACACACCCACTCGCTCACTCACTCACTCGCTCGCTCACTCACTCACTCACCCACTCACTCACTCACCGACTCACTCACCCACTCGCTCACTCACTCACTCACTCGCTCACTCACCCACTCACGCACTCACTCACCGACTCACTCACCCACTCGCTCACTCACTCATCTACTCGCTCACTCACTCACTCACTCGCTCACTCACCCACTCACACCCTCACTCACCAACAGTGACAGTAACCTCACCATGGCGCCTGTGCTAGGGCAGGTGCACTTTGAGACCACGTGAAGTGCCTAAGGCTCGCTGACAGGATGGCATAAGACAAACCCAGCCGGTGCCATGGATTGACTGACTGGCATATGAACCACTCGTACCCCCTTCTTAGTCAACTTGCTGATTTTAGCTGCCTGGCGCTCTGCTTGATGTTGTGAGCGTCGCTCCTCTGCCCTCTGTTGTTCCTGGAGGGCGACTGCCTCCAACTGCGTAGTAGCAAGGTCCTTCACGAGCCTCCTCCACAGAGGCCGACATTGACACCGCTGGTACCAGTCATCAGCAAGTCCACTCAGCTCCACATCCTCTCATAACGCATCAGTCCATCTCTTCTCTATACGTTGTCGTGCACGTTTAGCCCCCTCTATCTGGATGAACAAAAGCTGCTTGGGTGTGTGGTGGCTGGGCATGCGGGCTACATGACCCAGCCACCACAACCTTGCCTGTTGGAGGAGCTCACTGACGGGAATGTGCCAAATCGTTAATGGATTTGTGAGCTGCTCACACAATCCAGCCTGGTTAAACCCAGGATTAATCGTTTGTACACACGCCTGAAAGTTTCTCACTGACACAGAAGATCCAGTCGAGGGGTCCACATTTGGGTAGCATAGAGAAGGGGGGGAATGACCGTGGCCGAGAAGACCTGAAGATTAGTGTGGAACTACAGACCAGGTAGCTTCCACTCAGCGTTACGCAACCGATGAAAAGATAATGCCGCTCGACTGATTCAGAGTGTGACCTCTGCTGTCAAACCATAGCCGGTCACGAGAAAACTGTCCAGTATGGGAAACACTCCATTCCCTCCACAACTGTCCCATCACCAATTGGGAGATGTGGGGGTGGAGTATCTGATGGTACACAATACCCAGACAGGTGCTTAGTTTTGGTGGGGTAGATGGTAAGGCCCCACCTCTTGGTGGCTTGCTCTAGGTTCAGCAGCAGCACCTCAAACTCTTCCTCTGAGTGAGTAGCAATTACTAGATCATTGGTATACGTAACACGGTTGACCAATAGGGAGCAATTCATTGACCACACCCGGGCATCTGTACCAGATGGAAATTCCTACCGTACAGCCATCGAAGGCTTGGCGACCTACGGAGTCGAAATAAATGTGAAATAATGTGGGAGCCATTGGACATCTCTGTCGCACCCCAAGGTGATTAGTGAATGGCTCCGACTCCTGGCCATGTAGTTTTATCATGAAAGTACTTAATGATCATGAGCAGAGAGTCAGGGACTCCATAAGCACGAAGAACAACCCAGAGCCCAGGCCTAGCGATGGAACAACAGGCCCTGACCAGATCAATAAAGCAGAGATGTAGGTCTTGTTGGAATTCCATACACCTCTGCTGTAGTAGATGGACAGAAAATAAGGCATCTGTGCAGAACCCCTTTCCTGAAACCAGATTTGGGCTCCACAAGCCTTTCCTCAGCGTGCCTAGCAAGGCGATGTTGAATAATCCTTGCCAGGACCATTCCCGGCACACTGAGGAGTTTTTACAGTCTGTGCGGTCCCCCTTCTAAAAGAGGGGGACCACCAGATTATCTTTCCAATTCTGCTGAACCCGTCCCATGGTCCTGACTGTTATAATGATGTAATGTAGGGCAGTCTGTGCACAAACGCCACCCTCCCTCAGCATTTCGTTTGGAAAATCATCTTCGCCCAGTGCCTTTCCTGGTCTCAGACTTTGGATTGCCTTCAATACTTCCTCAACAGATGGCACCTCAGCCAGCCACTCACAGGGGGGTAACTACTTCTTACAATATTTGAGGCACCGTAGCCTCAGTAGGGTCATCCCCACTTTGCTTCGTAATGTTTTCCAAATATTCAAACCTATTCCTGGGGGTCTGAGATTGGATCAACGTTCGTTTGCTTAATTATGGTGATTGGTGAGGTACTTATTTGATGGAATTAAATATCAATTTGTGACCGCGGGCCACTAAAGGGAGAATCCATCTCCTCAGCAACCCGTGACCACCAACCATCCTTGCAGTGCCTCATGGCTCTCCGAACCTCCGAGTGGAGGCTGCAGTAGGCCTCCTCATTCTCTGATGTGGGATGCTGTGGACGATGAGAGTGGGCCTGTCGCTTTTTATCAGCTAGCCTGAACACCTCATCTGTCAGCCAGGGTCTCTGGGGAAGTCTGGACCGTGAAACCCAATGCAGCCATTGCAGCTGCATGAGCCACAGTCCTAAATCTTGTCCATTTCCCCACAACATCCGGCGAAGTGGGGGATTGATGCCAACCCCAGCTTCAAGCGATGATGACATTATTGCTTGCAACTTCCATCACCTAGCTGAGACCAGGCCACTATGGGCTTGAATGGGGTACTGGGTGTACACCCACCACTAAAGTGGAAGAATGGCAGGCACATCTTACAGATGACAAGTCGATGGTCAGTTGGACGATCGGCTCCACGGTAGGGATTTTCTTCCAATCACTCCAAACCAGGTCCCAGCATAATGACCATCTTGTGCATGTTGTTACCCAACAGGATGACTCTATCCCGAGGGGGCACTTTAGCTTGGACCTGTGACAGGAGGTCAAAGAAGGCATTTGACTCATTGGCCTTGCCTGCATCCCTCCATTGATGTTCATCATCGGTTGGGGCTTAAGTAACCACGACCACCACTCCTCACCTCTGGTTAATGGGAAGGCGAGCCCAAAGAAGCAGGGGGGCTGACAGCTTCCCACACCTCACCGCCACGCTCCCGCACCCCCTTCATCCTTTTGTTCAGAAGAAGAACCACTCAATGTTGTTTGGCAGTCTCCTGCCCCGAGTAGAGGACTGTCCATCCCTCATCGTGGCAGCAACCAGAGCCAGTCCACCAGACCTCCTGAATACCAAAGCGATCCAGGCGGTACCGGTCCAGCTCCCGACAGAGGAGTGGCAGCCTCTCCTCTGCAGTGAGCCTTTGCACATTCCATGTAGCCACCCGCAGTGGCTTATTGTTGTTTCTGGAGGAACCCTGAAGGTAAGGATTCAGTCTCCTCGCTAAACCAGATCGGGGTTGGCCAGGAGACGTCACAGATGCCTGTTCCCCCGGGGCATCCGGCACAAGCTTAGTTGGATATGTTTCACGTGGTTTTGTGGTTATTAAATTGAAGGTGGAGGGGCTACCAGCCCATCGCACCCGTCCACTCAAACACACCCACTCACCTACTCACACACACCCACTCAACTCACACACACACCCACACAACACACTCAACTCACACACACCCCCACTCAACTCACACATAGCCACTAATCTACTCACACAGCCACTCAGCTACTCACACACACACACTTAATACGCAACAATAACCACCATTCCCCACTAAGTGGCGCTTGTGCCAGGCTATATGCTCTTTGAAGCCATGTGAAGTGTCGATCACCCGCTGGCAGGAGGTCATGGTACAGAGGACTGGCTGATGCAACACCTGTGCCCCCTACTGTGCCAACTTACTGTATTATATCCACCGGGCACTCCGCTCGTTGTTCTGAGCATCTCTCCTTTGTCTTTCATTTTAGCTAGAGGGGGACTGCCTCCAACTGCCCAATAGCGAACTTCACACTCACACACCCACATACTCACAGACCTACTCAACACATTCACATACACACACCCACACACTCACAGAGCTACTCAACACACACACTCACACACCCACTTACCTTCATTGATATTCACATGCTCGGTCCATGACACATTAAAGGCGCTGCCCTTGTACTCCCACCAAAGCGAGATCATGAACTCTTCCGCGTCCTCCCGTGTGAGCCCCTTCAACTCGACTGACTGCAGGACTGCTTTAGATTCCGTCACCACCGCCACTCTGTCCACGTAGCCAGCCTCCGGCCTGAGACCTGAGTTGTGATCCCAGGTCAGGATCCTCACTGGCTCTGCCCATGCTCTGTCAACCTTTCTGGGATGCTGGAGGGAGATGTTTAGGAGGCGGCAGTCGGCAGGGGGCTTGGTCAGAGTGAAGGACAGGGAGCCACCGACCACCGCCCGCGACTTGGAGAAGTTCACCAGGCAGGCTGTGAGGAGGTGGTCGAAGAAGAGGTTGTGGAGAGAGAGGGAGAGAGAGCGAGCGCAGGGTGGACATAAGGGAGAGAAAGATACGCATCCTTGGGGCAATGTAAACATTCAGACAGCTGACGATCGCCATGTCAGACAACTTGGGCTTCGAGCGAATCTGCCACTAGTGTTTTTTTTTCTTTATATTATTTCCGCATACAAATGCAGGAACAACAGGAATTCACCAGCTGGATACACAGCAAACCAATTCACACCTGTCAACCCCTTATCAGTGCTGCCTACATTATTACAGACCATTTCAGACCTTAATGGTCACGCTGTGCCCCGAATAAATCTCAAAGTTCATCCCAGAAAGTCCCATCCCAAGGGATAAACACAAACAAATAAACAAACATTGTTTTTGTTTTGCCCGTATTGAAATGCCATATGGAACTGAACTGAAAACTAAATATCCCCTGCACAACAATACGGGGTAAACCGAATGTATCGACAGCAATACATTGGCCGGCACAAGAATGTCTCCCGTGGACTGCGATCTGTCGACGAGGCCAAACGGAATCGATCGTTCCACGTGGCGTGTTGCATTTCGCCCCCTTTTTTTACTTCCTCCCTTCCTTCCATCTCCACGATGCGATGAGATAGCATCGGATACGGAGTCGTCACTAGACGAGTGACCGTGGTGGTGGCAGAAGTGGTGGTGACATGGGGGCAGCCAGTCCTCCTCCCCCCTGCTCCTACTTCCCCCTCGTCTCCTCCTAACATCGACCACCACCACCACCTCGTCCCATCTCCTCCCACTTCCTCCACAACAGACAAACAGTCTGCATCTCTGCGCTGCTACGGAATCTCAGCGGGTGCGCCGCTCACTATGCCCAGGCGGGATGACTCACGGTTGAGCACAGTCAGAAAGACGTTCTCGCTATCCGTCCACTCGTAGGTCTCGTGCCTCCAGGCGACCTTGATCTCGTAAATGCCATCGTCCTCCATCCTCAGCTCCCGCAGTCGGAGCCACGCTGTGCCACCTCCATCGCTCCCCAGGTCGTTTCCCGGGCTCAGGTCCACCCTACCCCGGTACTGAACCGAGCTCTCGGACGGTGTCCAGCGTCGGGTGGAGGCGTCGTAGGTGGCCATGCGGTCGTCCCTCCCACTCCTGAACCACGCTGCTGTGGTGACCTCGCAGCCTCGAGGGGCAGAGATGTGGGCATTGAAGAAAATGGTCGAGCCCACGGTGGCTTTGATGTGAACCTGGGATACCTCGATATGGCAACCTGTAACGGACACATGGGGTGGGGTGGTGGTTGGGAGTGGGTGGTGGGTGTGGGAATGTCGGTGTGGGTGGGTGTGGGGGTGGAAAGGCGGTGTGAGGTGATGGAGCAGAGACAGGGAAACACGGTGCTCTAGAGGAGATGTTAATTGCTTCGCCTGGTATACAGAAGGTCGTGGGTTCGATTCTGAACCCTGACCGATGCCTGCTATGTATTTGGCGACATGTTAACTACCTCTCCTGGTATACAGGAGGTCGTGGTTTCGATCCTGGTCCCTAACGCCCATGGTGGCCAGGAGATGTTAACTACCTCGCCTGAATGAACGTTTCATCCGTTTATTTTTCTTACAAGTACAACTTACAGTGGATCATTGATAATTATCTGGCAGCGCACGATTATCCAGCTGCTTCCAACATTATCCAGTGGTGGTCCCGGGCCGATCTGGCGAAACCGGCAAAACCAACCTGAAGCCAGTTACCAGTCCAGCTATCGGCACCACGTGCATGTGGAAAAACAAAATAGCTACACTTTCATCTTCTTGGTTCTTTCGGTAAAGTCACGTAGAAGGGAAGTAATAAAATAATAAAAATAAAACATAATAAAATAATTCTCACGACGTTTCGGCCACAACGCAAGCAGCCGTCCTCAGGTGAAAACCAGGTTTGTCGGGGAGACAGCGTCTGAATGAAACAGCACACGAGCTTAGAGCATATATATAAGCTGGGTTGGGAGGGGGGGAAAGGGCGCTTCGACAAAAGAATTTGCATATCAAGAGGAATTTAGCATATTTATGGGAAATGCAGGAATGTGATTAGTACTACATATGCCCGTGCATTATGCAGGATTAGCAGCATCCAAGGGAGGGGATATGGGAAATGCAGGTATGTGAATAGTACTAATTATGCCCGTGCATTATGCAGGATTAGCAGCATCCAAGGGAGGGGATATGGGAAATGCAGGTATGTGAATAGTACTAATTCAGCATCAAAGGGAGGGGGTAGGGGCAGCATTAATAAAGGGAAGGAGTGTTAATAGTATGTAGCTGCAGTAACTAAACCAACACGTAAACAACTAAAGTATAAACTACATAGTATCATCAGCATACTCTACAATAAGCTGAGTTACCAACAGTAAGTAATACATTACAATTCTACGTCGTAAAAATTATATAATATGCTTCCATCTAAACTTTATTCTCTTATATTACACGAGTCTACACCGTACTATATACTGCCATAGACAAACCCAACATTAAATTACATACTGTATTGCTATAATATTACCTTATCCATTGTAATATTACAATATGTATTATTATACCCACCCTAATGTATATCACACTGCTGTATATTCACTATACAATTACGATACTATATATTACTTTGTACACTGTATTAAGCATATAAATGTTATACTATTTGTTATTATACACTGTACCATTGACCGGACGGCTGCTTGCGTTGTGGCCGAAACGTCGTGAGAATTATTTTATTATGTTTTATTTGTATTATTTTATTACTTCCCATCTACGTGACTTTACCGAAAGAACCAAGCAGATGAATCCCTGCAGTCACGAAAGCTTTAAATCGAAAAAAGGCTACGCTTTCTTTCAGTGTCAAATGTATATATATGGTACAATATACACTACATACAACTTAAACAATTAAAATACTGCACGTACAGGGGCTGCCTCTACTTACGAACATTAAACTAACAAACTTTCAGAGATACGAACAAACCTGTCCCATATGTCCAGTTGCAGCTGTTCAGACCAAGAGTCGTAAGTACAACCGCAGCGCAATGAATGGCGGTGGTGGGATATAGATCTGCTGAAAATGAAGAACCAGTGGCATCTACATCTACAAAATATGAAGAACCAGTGTCATCTACATCAACAAAATATGACGAACCAGTGGCATCTATATCTACAAAATATGACGAACCAGTGGCATCTAGATCTACAAAACATCAAGAACCAGTGGTGTCTACATCTACAAAACATCAAGAACCAGTGGCATCGACATCCCCAGACCATGAAGGAGCAGTGGAATCTACATCTGCAGAACATCAAGAACCAGTGGCATCTACATCTGCAGAACGTGAAGAACCAGAGGCATCTACATCTGCAGAACATGAAGAACCAGTGGGATCTACATCTGCAGAACATGACGAACCCGTGGCATCTACATCTGCAGAACGTGAAGAACCAGTGGCATCTACATGTACCTAACGTGAAGAACCAGTGGCATTTCCATTTGCAAAACATGAAGAACCAGAGGCATCTACGTCTGCAGAACATGAAGAACCAGTGGCATCTACATCTGCAGAACATGAAGAACCAGAGGCATCTACATCTGCAGATCATGAAGAACCAGTGGCATCTACATCTACAGAACATGAAGAACCAGTGGCATCTGCATCTGCAGAACATGAAGAACCAGTGGGATCTACATCTGCAGAACATGAAGAACCAGAGGCATCTACATCTGCAGAACATGAAGAACCAGTGGGATCTACATCTGCAGAACATGACGAACCCGTGGCATCTACATCTGCAGAACGTGAAGAACCAGTGGCATCTACATGTACCTAACGTGAAGAACCAGTGGCATTTCCATCTGCAAAACATGAAGAACCAGAGGCATCTACGTCTGCAGAACATGAAGAACCAGTGGCATCTACATCTGCAGAACATGAAGAACCAGAGGCATCTACATCTGCAGATCATGAAGAACCAGTGGCATCTACATCTACAGAACATGAAGAACCAGTGGCATCTGCATCTGCAGAACATGAAGAACCAGTGGGATCTACATCTGCAGAACATGAAGAACCAGTGGCATCTACATCTGCAGAACATGAAGAACCAGTGGCATCTACATCTGCAGAACGTGAAGAACCAGAGGCATCTACATCTGCAGAACATGAAGAACCAGTGGGATCTACATCTGCAGAACATGACGAACCCGTGGCATCTACATCTGCAGAACGTGAAGAACCAGTGGCATCTACATGTACCTAACGTGAAGAACCAGTGGCATTTCCATCTGCAAAACATGAAGAACCAGAGGCATCTACGTCTGCAGAACATGAAGAACCAGTGGCATCTACATCTGCAGAACATGAAGAACCAGAGGCATCTACATCTGCAGATCATGAAGAACCAGTGGCATCTACATCTACAGAACATGAAGAACCAGTGGCATCTGCATCTGCAGAACATGAAGAACCAGTGGGATCTACATCTGCAGAACATGAAGAACCAGTGGCATCTACATCTGCAGAACGTGAAGAACAGATGGCATTTCCATCTGCAGAAGATGAAGAACCAGTGACATCTCTATCTGCAGAATATGAAGAACCAGTGGCATCTACATCAGTAGAACATGAAGAAGCATTGGCATCTACATCTGCAGAACTTGAAGAACCAGTTGCATCTACATCTACAGAAGATTATGCAACATTTAAAGCAATTCCCCGTGTTCAGTGTACAACACGTTTGGAATCGACAAGAGGAAAGTTGGACTTACGATCAAATCAACTTACGAACAAACATCTGGAACATAACTAGTTCGTAAGTAGAGAAGTACCTGTATTTATGCCTCACCCATGATGCAGGGTCTTCGAGACTGGAGTGGTATGTACGGTACACAGTAAATACAGTAACTCTTTTTTACTGGAGGATATTTTTTTGCGTCAATGTGTACGTTTTTTGCTGTAAATTGTACATTGTAAACAACATTTGAAACACTAAAAAAAAATACTCGCACACACTACACCTTAAAAATATATGTGAAATGGTAAGGCTGGGAACGCATCTTCATAGGACTAATTTTAGACTTTTTCACTATACAACTTTTAATATACAAAATTATTTCGTCTTTCCGTTATCATTGTTAATTGTCCGTGTTAGACAATATGCATGGTAAGTTATGAAGTGGTTAGAGTGTGAAATGGTAAGTTACCAATGCTGGGAACGCATCCTCACCGGACTGTTAGAAGTTGATCACCATACGATGTTTCAATATACAAACTACTTCGTATATCGAGTTATTACTTTTAATTTTCTTACTTTAAAATATGTAATGGTAAGTAATGCAGAGTTTGTAGTGTAAACTGTTTCGTTAATTAGGTTGGGAACGCATCCTCATGAGACTAACGTTATAAGTTGCTCACTATACAACTTCTCAATATACAAATAACTACTCCCTATATAGATGTATTGATGTAAATTATGTTGGTTTACAGGATGAATGGTAAGTTATGAAGTGTTAACAGTGTGACAGGATAAGTTACGAAGAGAGGGAATACATCCTCATAGGACTATTGTTATAAGTTACTCATTTTAAGACTTTTCAAAACAGTAACAACTACTTCATATATCGAGGTATCAATGTAAATAGTTTTTTTTATATATGATTGGTGTGTTATGCATTGTTTATATTGTTAAATGATATGTTACGAATGTCATAAACGCATCCTCACAAGACTAACGTTATAAGATGTAACTTCGACGTTACATATCGAGTTATTCTTGTTAATTGTCTTTATTTACAATATGCAATGATAAGTTATGAAGTGGTTATAGTATGAAATGGTAAGCTACAAAGGTTCGGAACGCATCCTCACAAGACTAATGCTATAAGTTACTCAATATACGACGTTTCAATACAAGAACAACGACTTTGCATAATGAGTTATTACTGTTTATTGTCTTTGTTAGACAATATTAATGGTAAGTTATGGAGTGGTTGTAGTGTAAAATGGTAAATTACTAAGGCTGGGAACGTCTCCTTACAGGATTAATGTTACGAGTTACTCACTATACGTTGTTTCAAGGTAAGAACAACGAATTTGCATATCGAATTATTACTGTTAATTTTCTTTATTTTCAATATGCAATGGTACGTTATTAAGTGTTTATAGTGTTAAATGTTACGTAACGAAGGCTGGGAAGGCATTCTCACTCGAATAATGTTATAAAGTACTCACTATACGACGTTTCAAAATACGTTAAACACCGTTCAGAAATGCATCCACTTGATGTAATGTGGCAACTTATACAGTAAATATATTTAAGATACAGCGTTGTGGGATGGCAATCAGTATGAATTACTCAGCAATATCCAATTAAATGATAATATTTAACTATTATAATATTATTTCACAATGGGACCTCTTTTGTAGAATATAGTAGTGTATTGCATAGTATAGTGTAGTGTATAGTGTATTCTAGTATAGTGTATAGTAGTTTAGTGTATCGTGTTGTGTGTAGTGTGAAGTGTATATTTTATATTTGTATTATATTTATATAATCTTATTATTTCCCTTCTACGTGACTTTACCGAAAGAACCAAGAATATGAATCCCTGCAGTCACGAAAGCTTTAAATCAAAATTTAGTGTATCGTTGTTTATTATATATATTTAGTGTGTTGTATAGCGTATATTAGTGTAGTGTTTAGTGCAGTGTATACTAAAGTTGAGTGCATAGTAGTTTAGTTAAATGTAGTGTATAGTAGTGCAGTGCATAGTAGTGTATCTTACCTATAAACGTCACTTTTTGTCTGTCCATCTGTCCGTCTGTCCCTCTGCGTACGCTCGCTTTCGAGGGATTTGGCGCTCGGGCCGTGGGGTTTAGGAAGAATTTTTTTTGCAGGTGGGCACGCCCCCGGCCCCGCGGTGAACTTAGGCATTTCCGATTTTTCGTCCGTCGCCTTTAAATCGGTCCGATTATCGATTTTGAGCGATTTCTCTTTATTTATTTATTTACTATTGCAGACCGGCGCCGACCACGGCGGTTGCCCCTGGCAACGGCCAGCAACGCCATCGCTGCGGGGTGGACGCCATTTTTAATTCGCGTTAAAATATGCACACGCATTAACACGCGACGCTGAGGTAAATACATCAAAGTTTCACTTCCCCCCCACCCCAATGTGTGCACTTACTATTATAGGGTCGGTAGATAATAAAATTATAGCGATTAGACAGTATTATTGTAGCGCGAGGGGGGGTGGGGGTAGCGGCTCAGCCCCTAGCCTCGGCCGGGTGGGCGATCTAGGCGAGGCCAGAGGCTCTGCACGGTACTAGGCCTCGACACCCCACATGTGTCAGGCGAAGACTTTGTGCTATAAACTCGATATACCCAGCGTTGCCCGGGGGGAAAATACATTTAAAATCTTCTGAAAACTTTAAAACATTACATACCAATTAAAATACAACTGAATCGCGCGAAGGAATCGATGGTTGTAGATTCATTTAGAATCGCCCTGTTCCCGTTTAAAATAAGTTGATTATAGAGTCGATATAAACTGCTACGAATGGGAAATACCCGGCGTTGACCGGGGCAAAAATATTATTAAAAACTCCTGAAAAATTTCGAACATAACATACCAATGAAAATAAAACTCTGTAATTAAAAATGTAGCCCAAGCGCGAAAAGAAGCTATTTATTGCAATCGTTGCGAAGGAATCAAGGGTTGTAGATTACTTTAGAATCGCCCTACTGTATTCCCTTTTTAACAAACTGCGTGTCGCAGACACACAAATTCACACATTTTGCTTTTACATTTAACATACAAAACGTCAGCATGTACTGCTGTCATCATAGGCACAAATATATACACCCTCACCACTCTCCCTCACCACTCTCCCTCACTCACCCTCACCACTCACCACTTACTATCACTCACCACTCACACTCACCACTCACCATCACTCACCCTCACCACTCACCCTCACCACTCACCCTCACCACTCACTCACCCTCACTACTCACCCTCACCACCACTACTCACCCTCACCACTCTCTCACCACTCACCCTCACCACTCACCCTTCTTTCTCAACACTTACGCTCACCCTCACCAATCATCCTCACCCTCACCACCACCACTCATCCTCACCACTCACCCTCGCCACCACCACTTACCCTCAACACTCACCACCACCACTCACCACCACTCACCTCTCACCACTCACCTCTCATCACTCACCACTGACCCTCACCACTCACCCTCACCACTCACTCTCACCACTCACTTTCACCACTCACCCTCACCACTCTCCACTCACCCTCACCACTCACACTCAACACCTCACCACCTCACCACCTCACCACTCATCACTCACCACACACTCACCACAGACCCCTCACCACTCACCACAGACCCTTCACCACTCACCCTCACCACTCACCCTCACCACTCACTACTCACCACCACTACTCACCCTCACCACTCTCCCTCACCACTCACCCTCACCATTCACCCCTTTCCCTCACCACTCACGCTCACCACTCACCATCACCAACCATCCTCACCCTCACCCCCACCACTCTCCCTCACTACTCACCCTCACCTTAACCACTCACCTTCACCACTCACCCTCACCACTCACCCTCCACTCACCCTCAGCACTCACCACTCACCTTCACCACTGACCCTCACCACTCACCCTCACCACTCACCACTCTCACCACTCACCCTCACCACTCACCTTCTCCACTCACCCTCACCACTCACCCTGACCACTCACCCTCACCACTCACCACACACCCTCACCATTCACCACTCTTCTTCACTACTCACCCTCACCACTCACCCTCACCCCTCACTACACACCACTCACCCTCACCACTCACCGCTCTCCCTCACCACTCACCCTCACCACTCACCACTCACCCTCACCACTCACCATCACTGTGGTGGTGGTACCTGCTATCATGACAGTAGTACAAGCTGACGTTTTGTATGTGTAATGTCAAAAGCTAAATTAGTGAATGTGTGTCTGTAAGAAATGTTAAGCATACTTGGCGACACGTAAGCAAGTTTTTTTTTAAAACGGGAATAGGGTGAGTGGTGGTGGTGAGGGTGAGTGGTTAGGGTGAGTAGTGAGGGTGAGTAGTGAGGGTGAGTGGTGAGGGTGAGTGGTGAAGGTGAGGGTGAGTGGTGATTGGTGAGGGTGTGATTGGTGAGGATGAGTGGTGAGTGGTGAGGGTGAGTGGTGAGCGGTGAGGGTGAGTGAGGGTGAGTGGTGAGTGGTTGGGGTGAGTTGTGAGGGTGAGTGGTGAGGGTGAGTAGTGAGTAGTGAGGGTGAGTGGTAAGTGGTGAGGGTGAGTGGTGATTGTTGAGGGTGTGATTGGTGAGGATGAGTGGTGAGTAGTGAGGGTGACTGGTGAGGGTGAGTGGTGAAGGTGAGTGGTGAGTGCTGAGGGTGAGTGGAGAGGGTGAGTGGTGAGGGAGAGTGGTGAGGGAGAGTGGTGGGGGTGAGGGTGAGGATGGTTGGTGATGGTGAGGTTGAGTGGTGAGGGTTAGTGGAGAGTGGTGAATGGTGATTGGTCAGTGGTGATTGGTCAGGATGAATGGTGAGTAGTGAGGGTGAGGTTGAGTGGTGAGGTTGAGTGGTGAGGGTGAGTGGTGAGGGTGAGTGGTGGTTGTGACGGTGAGTGGTGATTGGTGAGGGTGTGATTGGTGAGGATGAGTGGTGAGTGGTCAGGGTGAGGGTGAGTGGTGAGCAGTGAGGGTGAGTGAGGGTGAGTGAGGGTGAGTGGTTAGGGTGAGTAGTGAGGGTGAGTGGTGAGCGTGAGTGGTGAGCGTGACTGGTGAGTGGTGAGGGTGAGTGGTGAGGGAGAGTGGTGAGGGAGAGTGGTGAGGGTGAGTGGTGAGGGTCAATGGTGAGGGTGAGTAGTGAGGGTGAGTAGTGAGTGGTGAGGGTGAGTGGTAAGTGGTGAGGGTTAGTGGTGATTGTTGAGGGTGTGATTGGTGAGGATGAGTGGTGAGTTGTGAGGGTGAGTGGTGAGAGTGAGTGGTGAGGGTGAGTGGTGAGGGTGAGTGGCAGTTGTGAGTGGTGATTAGTGAGGGGTGAGTGGTGAGGGTGAGCGTGAGTGGTGAATGGTGAGGGTGAGTGGTGAGGGTGAGTGCTGAGTGGTGAGGGTGAGTGGTGAGAGAGTGGTTAGTTTTGAGGGTGAGTGGTGAAGGTGAGTGGTGAGGTTGAGTGGTGAGGGTTAGTGGAGATTGGTGGGTGGTGATTGGTCAGTGGTGATTGGTCAGAATGAATGGTGAGTAGTGAGGGTGAGGTTGAGTGGTGAGGTTGAGTGGTGAGGGTGAGTGGTGAGGCTGAATGGTGAGAGTGAATGGTGAGAGTGAGTGGTGAGTGGTGAGGGAGAGTGGTGAGGGTGAGTGGTGATTGGTGAGGGTGTGATTGGTGAGGATGAGTGGTGAGTGATCAGGGTGAGTGGTTGTTGTGAGGGTGAGTGGTGAGGGTGAATGGCAGTTGTGAGTGGTGATGGGTGAGTGGTGAGCGGTGAGGGGTGAGTGGTGAGCGTGAGTGGTGAGGGTGAGTGGTGAGGGTGAGTGGTGAGGGTGAGTGCTGAGTGGTGAGGGTGAGTGGTGAGAGAGTGATTAGTTTTGAGGGTGAGTGGTGAGGGTGAGTGGTGAGGTTGAGTGGTGAGGGTTAGTGGAGAGTGGTGGGTGGTGATTGGTCAGTGGTGATTGGTCAGGATGAATGGTGAGTAGTGAGGGTGAGGTTGAGTGGTGAGGGTGAGTGGTGAGGGTGAGTCGTGGTTGTGACGGTGAGTGGTGAGGGAGAGTGGTGAGGGTGAGTGGTGATGGTGAGGGGTGAGTGGTGAGGGTGAGTGGTGACGAAGAGTGGTGAGGTTGAGTGGTGAGTAGTAAGGGTGAGTGGTGATGGTGAGGGTTAGTGGTGAGGGTGAGTGGTCAGGGTGAGTAGTGAGGGTGAGTGGTGAGCTGTGAGGGTGAGTGGTTGTTGTGAGGGTGAGTGGTGAGGGTGAGTGGCAGTTGTGAGTGGTGATGGGTGAGTGGTGAGCGGTGAGGGGTGAGTGGTGAGCGTGAGTGGTGAGGGTGAGTGGTGAGGGTGAGTGGTGAGGGTGAGTTCTGAGTGGTGAGGGTGAGTGGTGAGAGAGTGGTTAGTTTTGAGGGTGAGTGGTGAGGGTGAGTGTTGAGGTTGAGTGGTGAGGGTTAGTGGAGAGTGGTGGGTGATGATTGGTCAGTGGTGATTGGTCAGGATGAATGGTGAGTAGTGAGGGTGAGTGTTGAGGGTGAGTGGTGAGGGTGAGTGGCGGTTGTGAGTGGTGATTAGTGAGGGGTGAGTGGTGAGGGTGAGCGTAAGTGGTGAGGGTGAGTGGTGATTGGTGATGGTGTGATTGGTGAGGATTAGTGGTGAGTGGTCAGGGTGAGTGGTGAGGGTGAGTGGTGAGGGTAAGTGGTGAGCGGTGAGGGTGACTGGTTGTTGTGAGGGTGAGTGGTGAGGGTGAGTGGTGAGGGTGAGTGGCGGTTGTGAGTGGTGATGGGTGAGTGGTGAGCGGTGAGTGGTGAGCGTGAGTGGTGAGGGTGAGTGGTGAGGGTGAGTGGTGAGTGGTGAGGGTGAGTGCTGAGTAGTGAGGGTGAGTGTTAAGGGTGAGTGGTGAGAGAGTGGTTAGTTTTGAGGGTGAGTGGTGAGGGTGAGTGGTGAGGTTGAGTGGCGAGGGTTAGTGGAGAGCGGTGAGTGGTGATTGGTCAGTGGTGATTGGTCAGGATGAATGGTGAGTAGTGAGGGTGAGGTTGAGTGGTGAGGGTGAGTGGTGAGGGTGAGTGGTGGTTGTGACGGTGAGTGGTGAGGGTGAGTGGTGAGTCTGAATGGTCAAGATGAATGGTGAGAGTGAGTGGTGAGGGTGAGTTGTGAGTGGTGAGTGGTGAAAGGTATTGTCAAAGCCCACCGGGCTTTGACAATACCTTAGTATCTGTGTATATATGTAAGGTTATTAAGAAATATATTTTTCACCCGGGCAACGCCGGGTACTTCTGCTAGTAGTGTATAATAGTGTAGTATGTAA